GCTTCTTATTAGCTAGCTCTCTCTTAATTATTAACCCATTTCTATTCATCTGTGTGTCTCCACAAGGTCTTGACTTACTAGTGATACCCGGATCTCTTGCTTCCTCAGCAACTACAGTCTTGCCATTAGTGCTTGCCTGGGAGATCTGAAGACTGCTTCAAGAACTTACTGTTGGATCTGACAACACCTTTAAGTTGGGTTGTGGTGATTCTGAGGCATTGACTTAGAGTTGTTGGAAATGATATCTATTTCTCCTTGACGTCCTTGTAGGCCAAGGTTGAAGTCTCTAGTTAGGAGGAAGGCTCAAAGGGGCCTGGCTTGGGTTTCACCAAGAAGAGACCTTTTGCCACTGATCCTCTCATCATGACAGTGGCGGTGAAGGAGTGAGGCAGATGGTCTCATGTATCAGATCCAAAGAGCATTAGCTGCATGCCTTGATGGACCCTACCCATCCAGCTCCTTCCCAGACATGCTCCTCTCCTCCCTACCTGGGCTGCTGCCTCAGACACACAATGGACATGCTTAGCAGGGCTGGTCTAGGATGGCCTCATAACACTGTGTCCAAAAAAATGATGGGATCATACACCTGTGTCCCTGTCTCTAGCTGGCTGGGCCCTGAGAGTTAAGATGGGTACAAGATAGGGACAGGAGTCCTGAAGTACACAGATGGACTTTCTGGTCCTGCTCACTCATGAAGACATGCATCCACCCATGCAACCCTGCCCATCAAAATGATTTAGTGCTCAAAGCTAGCCTAGACCAACACTGAGCATACAGGACTGTCATTGCAAGGGAAATTAGTGTAAGCACAAGTAGCCTGAGAATGAGAGCTTCCTAGAGAAACCTCAAGTGGAGTCTGGTCTGAGGTCCCGCCTTGGGCCTCCAGAGTTAACTGTCACCAGCTTCCCTTGGTGGGATGACCCAGTGCTGGGAGTGAAGCAAAGAGGTGCTCCAGGGAAGAGGGAGGCCTGGCCTCCCACAAACAGCCGCCCCCTCAATCTCAGTTTCCTCATCTCTGCATGGGTGTGGAGGTGACCTAGGAGTTCCTGAGTCCCCTGCCATTGCTGACACCCTGTGGTCCTCCTTTCTATTGGTTCACCTAAGTGAGGTGGAAGTCAATGCTTTTGCTTCCACAGTCCTTTGGCATCCATCTTGTCCTAGGAATGTGCTTGGGAGTTCCAGAGGTGCATCTGGATAGAGAACTAAACAAGCTATTGGAAATGCATGTACTGACCAATTATAAGAAATGAACAGATAATGCACAAGACAGGGACCGACACAGGCTTTCCTCCAATGCTGAGGCTGGTGTGTCCTTTCCCTGTGTAACCTAGCAACACATTCACTTCTAACATCACTCAGCAAACCTGTGCCCTGAAAGGGTGCTGCAGTCATCACGTTTCACCCATAAGGGTCAGGAGAAGTTGGTGTGTTTCTCTGAATTTCTAGCAACACGTGATAGCCCCAGGGTAATTAAAGTAACTTCCTGTTGTTTCTGTTCTGTCATCGTTGTAAGGCAGATTAGCAGGCCCTGCTCAGATCTCGGGAAGAATGAATGACTCTGAGAGAGAAAAGAGCACAGCACTGGCCCTGGGTAAAATACTCAGTGCAGACCTCAGCTCTCCTCCTCACAGGGATGGCTTAGATAAGTCACATCACCTCTCCAGGCCTCTGTTCCTTCGTATGTCACATGAAGGCTTTATGCCATCTCAAAGTCTTGGCCAGCTGGCAAATTCCATGCATGTCTGTCATTTGTGATGATTGGAAAAGCCCAACGATTGCATCACCATTAACTAAAATAGCTCCATGTGCTACGTGACAGGACATCTGAACCCCATGGCTAAGCTGCCCCAAGATGCTGCCAGCCACAGCCTTGACAAATGCAGAACTTTGTAGTGCAGACCCACTCGTTTCTCCGTGGCCTGACCCCAAGTGTGTCCCTTTCCGTTTTTTACTCAGGGCGCAGATCTGGGTCTTTCTTTAGGAGCATGAGTGAGGACTATAGGCTTGGCACCAGGAGTAGCCTGGATAATCGTCAAGGCAATTCAGCAGGTCTAGGAACAGGAGGCAGTTTCTAGGAGCTGGGGTAGCAAAGCCATAAATAGAGGTCAGAATCACTGCCACCCCAGAAAGCTTGTAAGTCAAACAATCAGCCTGTTGAACTGCAAGAGTGAGGTGGCTATGTGGCTGCAAGGGTCCAGTTGCTTGTCCTGGCAGTTTCTTCCAACCAGTGACGCTAAGCCTTGGGGTGACTGCAGCCTTCTCAATATAAGAGGGAAGACCTCCACCCCCAGGCACTGTGGGGTCCACAATCCCCAACCCCAGAGCAGAAGGGAAAAGAACCGAGATCCAGCCTGTGAGCATCTCAGCTAAGTTTGGGATGGTGGAGGCTACAAAGGGAATGCTCTACCCAAGAGCTGTGAGCTGCAGGTTGGGGACAAGCTGTCAAGTTGAAATAACTATCCCGCCATGTTTCAGATGAGGAACAATTGCTTAAGCAACTGGAGTTTTCCAGCTATGGAAGGGCATGGCAGGGAAGCCATGGTGGGGAATGCATGTTGTCAGGAGAGTGAAGCAAGCTGACCACATTGGCATCAGCAAGCAGAGAGCAAACAGGACATTGCTCCAGGCTTGTTTCCCACTTCCCCCAGAGGCTCCACCTCCTAAGAGTTCAAAACTTTCCAGAGTACCAAAGAGTACTACCAGGCTACCAGAGTAGCCTGCAAGAACATCCCACATACAAACCATGACACTGGCTGAGGCTGCCTCTTAGGCACTGGATCTGGTTAAGTGTTTCTGGATGATGGGTGATTGATTCATAGGAAAACTCTACCTAGGGCAGAAACTGCTGGGAAGAAGCTGGGTTGAAATCTTCTTCTCACAGAAAACCTAAATTTCTAAGTGAGATATGACACGCTACTTGGGCTAGAGACAGATTCTCTGTGGAAGGCTTGGTGACTCCCCAGATAAGCTGATGCAAGTAGCCTCACCCCCAGGCCTGGGAAAAGTGCTCCTATACTGTAGACTCCATGTTCCTTTGCAGGGCCCAGGAGGCCAAGGACTGGTTGAGGGAATTGCCTCTGGAATGGAGTCCCCAAATTGGGGCAGTCTGTACCTTAACCAGGAAAACGTCAATGTGTGTGTCTCTCTTGTTCATTCTTCAGGGTGGCACCTCACCTCATTGCACCCACTTCCTTGTCTAAACTTCTAAAATGATGCCTTCCACACCCTCTACTCCTGTCTTCTATCCCTATCTATACACCTACTTGGAAATACATATATTGAGACAGGGTCTTACCGTGCAGCCCAGGATGGACTAGGAGGTAATGATACTCCTACTTCAGCCTCCCAAGTGCTGGGATTACAGATGTGTGCCATGACACCTGGCTTTCCTACTTGCTTCCTAAGCTTTTGTCAGTCTCCCCCACCCCCTCCAGTGTTCAACTTCATGAAGACACACCCTTTACTCATGGGTGTATCCACCGTACTCTAACAGATGCTTGACCATCCATTTGGCTGTGTGTGTAAGAGAACAGAATGATGCCAGGCTGGGCAAAGCACAGAAGCTAAGCCAGGGACTCCCTGACCATCAGCCACACCCTCCTTGTCACATTTCAGTTCTTTCTCCTGCTCTCACCCACCTGACCCTCAGTGCTGCCTGGCTTGCTCTGGAACCCATAGCCTCCTCCGGTCTCCTCTGACCTCACATGGGCTTCTGTTCTCAGCCTCACTGCACAGCATGACACACACTCTCAAGTGACCTGCTGTTGGCAGAGGCAAGGCAGGTCTGGGAAACCTAGAGCCAATCTGAAGTCAAGCCTCAGGCAGGAGCCTCGCCTGTTTTGGGGATCACTGGTTCCCTCTTACTGTCCCCAGGGAGTTTCCCTGGTCACACACAGCTTCTGGGTTCCACCTCCCCTCTGCAGTTTCCTCTTTGGTGTTCTCCCATTGTCCCCCCATCCCCCACTCCCCACTCCCCACTCCCCACCACCCCACTCCCCATCCCCCAGTTTCCGTTGAGTGCTAGCAGGAGCTGAGGTTTCAGTAACTGTCAGGGGTGTCTAGTTGCCTGGTCCACAAAATGAATGGAAATTGCCTGGCCCAGTGAAATGAAACTCACATAATATGTGAAGAGAATTTTCTAGTCAATTTTGCTATGAACTTAAACTCTTTTTTAGAAATCAATTGGCAAGAAGGAAGCTGACGAAGACTGAGACTAAAGCTGGGCATGGTGGCATACAGCCATTGAAAGACCCCCGGAGGCTCAGGCCTCCAGGATCTCGGTCCAGGACCTTGGCCACCCCAATCACCATGCAGAGGCAGAAACTTGATGCAAACAGCATGAGGCTTTATTGTAGTTGTTTAACGAGATAACCCCATGTTAGCTTGGGCCTTTCATCCATCCACCATCGCGGATGGCTAGGAAAGACGCTGCGAAGCCACTGCATAGAGATCTTATAGGGCAGCGTAAGGGGAGTACACACAGGCTCAGGATTGGTGTGCCTCCAGGCTTGGAGGGTTTGCCCTGTGTTAATTGGTCAACTGGTTGTTATGGCCAATAGGCCCTCCCAGGGTGGTTGCTATGCTCTGCGAGTCATTGCTGTGCACTTGTCCGTAAAGTACACCCAGAGCCTTAAAGCACAGCACCACCAGCTAACTTACTGTCATGGCTGCCAAAAGGGGCAGGCATCTGACCTCCTAGTGACCAAAGACAAGGTCAGGCAAGCACGTGGTAGGCTGTTATGGCCGCTGAAATGGGGAGCTGGTCCCTTCACCATAATCCAGGCATTTGGAGGGTCAGCTGGGCTACACAAGACCCTGTCTCAAAACAAGGCAAAACAAATCAAACAAACAAAAAAAGCAGGAATGATGCACTGTGACCTTATACCTCATGGTTTTAGCCTTAGCTCTTTCTTCCCTGTATGGAAGGAGGGTCAGTGACAAGGCCTGGGTGGTGTCCTGGGGTATCCAGAGACAGGTAATAAAGGTGACTCTCTTGGCAGATGGTGTGGATTTCACAATGATTCGCCTGGTGAATGGCTCTGGGCCACATGAGGGCCGAGTGGAGGTGTACCATGATCGTCGCTGGGGCACAGTGTGTGATGACGGCTGGGACAGGAAGGATGGGACCGTCGTGTGCCGCATGCTGGGCTTCCATGGTGTTGAGGAGGTGTACCGGACAGCTCGCTTTGGGCAAGGTAAGGATAGTAAGGTACGGTACAGTAAGGAAGAAAGCCATAGATTCTAGGCCAAGCCTTTTCCCTCAAAGCCTATATAACCTTCATGTAATCTAGCCAACTGTTCCCTGAGGGCACCTCTCCCTCACTCCTGTTCTCAGTACATACCTCATACTTATAAACACTTCCTTCCTTAAACATGCAGAAACTTGGGTAGACTTGAACCTAAAACAATAATTCCCAGTGTACAGATCAGATAGATCTCTTGCCCATTTAGTTCTGTGCACCCTGTTCCTCAGCTGTGTGCACTTGGGTCTGGCCTTTCTCTATTCTGTGTCTCAGTGTGATTGTCTGGAAAGAGGCTTACAGATTCTGGGATGCTTTCCAGGCTAGCCCCTGGGATTTAAGATGCTGCCATTCAACTGTCGTGAACACCTGCATTCCAGTGTGCAGGGGACTAGGATTTGAGCTGATCATATCACACTCGGCTACTGGGGTGTCTGGTGGCCTGTGAGTGGAACTAGGGATTGTTCCTCTCACCATCTTGCCTGATGCTTAAGCTTTCCATTCCTCTGAGCTAAAATAGTTACAAGGACTTACAGTGTAGCATGAGGAGAGAGGGTGGGTGGCTTGTCATCTGCTAAATGGATTGTCCCTGAAGGTCTCCACGCCTCACAGCTGCCTAGCTTCTCATTTTGTGATAAGCTGCTGAAGTTCTTGCTCTGGAGGTCATCTGCAGAGTCCAGTCACATATTGGCTCTTGGTACCACCTGATGAGCGACCACCAGTTCAACACTCCTACATCCTGGCCTCTCTACTTTTTCCTCCTCCTCCTCCTCCTCCTCCTCCTCCTCCTCCTCCTCCTTTTTCACCCCTTCTGCAGGCTGTCCATAGAGCACATTCCTATACCTGGGGCTTCAGTCATGACCCGGGTCGTTCTCTCAGTCCTGGAATGTGCCCCTGTGCCTCAGACCCCTCGGTGTCCAGTTATTTCCTAGACAGCTCCACTCAAACACATCATACACCTGTCAAATGGGCCACACTTTCTTCCCATCAAATCCTTTACCTGTATCAGGCACTGTAACACACAGTACCATTATCTGTTAGACTCCATATAAACCAGACCCTGGGAACTTCCGCCCTATTACCGATCCCTTTTCAGTCCCATCCCTGAGTCTTACAGATTCTACCAGTGTCCACCCGTCCAGGGTCTTTTGAATCTGCCTCCTCTGCTTCCTCCTCACTGCCCCACCTTAGACAGTATTTTCATCAGAGCAGAGGAGTGGTTAGGATAGAAACTCTGGAGTCAGACTCCTGGGCTTGAATGCACTGACATCCTTGAGCACATTTCCTAACCCCTCTGAGTGCCCAAATTTCTCTTCTAAGGACAGGCTGCGGATGTTAGATGAGGCTGTGTGCGTCAAGGTGCAGGCACCATTGCCCATCTCAGTCTACTATTCTATTGAGTGAAGATGGCTGTCGGTCCAAGGGGCCTGATAGTGGCTCTGAGCTTTTCTGAGCTGCTGTTGTTTGGACTGTTTCACCACAACCTACAGGTTGGTTCCTGGGCCCTGCCTTTTCTAACTGCCAGCAATCTGCCTAAGATGAGTGTTTGTGTTAACATATTCCTGAATCTTTAATGGGCCTTCATTGCTCTTGGGATCAAATTAGCTTCCATTGGTTCAGCAACTAAGCCCTTCTTTTTAACAGTCCCCCACACACACTGTTCTTTGAGACAGAGTCTCACTATATAGCTCAGGCTGACCTTGGGCTCACTATCCATCTCAGGATACTGTCTAACAAGCAATCCTTCTGCTTCAGCTCCCCCGGGTGAAAGGATTTCAAGTATGCACCACTAATATCAAGCCCTGACCAAAGCCCTTCTTAAGCCACCTCCTACCACTCCCCACTTGTCACAGGGTGCTTCTATCACAGGTGCTTACAGTGCTTCCCAGAGCCCGCCTGCTGCTGTTTCCTGACACTCCATCTCTGTGTGTTATCTTTCCCCATCAGCTCTAAAAGTCAGCTCAGTTCTGTCTCCTGGAAGGAACTTTCCAAGCCCTCTGATATCTCAGCTCGTGATGAACACACTTTAGCTCCTGTGGCACACTCTGCATGTCTCTGTCACCTGTGTTGCTCACTGGTGTATTCTAAAAACACAGAAGAGTGTTGAGTGGAGAGCAGACCCTTGGACTATCTGTTTGATGAGTAAATGGCCACTTTTAACCTAGTGCTCTGTGAGACAACGAGTAAATGGCCACTTTTAACCTAGTGCTCTGTGAGACAACCCGGGGCCGTAGTCTCAATCCCACCCCAATGTAAAAGAGCACCTGTTGCTTTGTTTTCTCATCTGTTCACCAGTAGGCATTGTGCTGAGCCCTTCCACCCTGGGGAGCTTTATTGTGAACCTCAAGAGAAACAACCAGAGTGGAGTTGTCCCTAGCCCAAGAAGGGCTCCTCAGACCTACATATATCCCTGGATTACTCGGGGCTAGATAAAGCCCTAACAAGTTCCCAGGCTAGTCCTGGGACCTTTCCTTGTGTAGCCTGAGGACAATTCTAAGGCCAGGTGACAATGAGTACCTGGAATCTTCAGAGCACTGGCTTCCGTGACATGGGGTGAGGGGCATAGATGTTTGCTGCTTCCTTAGCAGTGCCCCACATGCTTGTTAAAGCTGCAGTTTGGGGGTTACTCATGAGATGACCCTGCTCCAAGTGTATTGGCCTTCTGAGACTGGACACTAGCCAGTCCTGGCAGAGGCCCAAGTTGTGTTTCCAGTGTCCACATCCTGCAAGTGCATTTGGGATGGGCAGCCATGGGCCTGTTCTTTATTTGTTAGTCCCCTTTATTTGCTTTGGGTGTGGTTAATCCCACAGAGCTCTTAGGCCTGCTGCCTTTTCCTGGGTAATTTGTGAAGTGATGTGTTTTCCAGGAGACATTTAATCTGTGAGTTATTGCTGTGCCTCAAAGGGCTTAATTGTGTAAGAGCCAGAGAGAGGCTCTGGTGAGGACAGGGTCCAAGCAGACAGCAAAAGGAGGCCTCTACTCCTTGTTCTGTTCTTGACTCACTGCATGGCAACCCTGTAATTAAAAAAAAAAAAAAAAAAAAAAAAAACACCGAAAATCTCCATGGAACATGTCTAAGAAGCTTAATCCACATAGTTGGTTTAGTCAATAGCACTGTGGCTTAGGTGGTCCCTTGAGCTTCTTTGTAAAGAGATATTACGGACCGATCTAGAATAAGTGACAGAGCTGAAGGTTTTCACAGTCTCAATGATTCCACTAAAAAGAGAGGATCATCTGGCTGTGGGGAAGGATACAGTGTGGAGGTCAGTTATGGATCTAATCCCTGAGCTACCTTTCCTATCAGCTTTCATGGATACCAAAGCCCTTCCCAATACAGAAACATTTTGTTGACTAATGTGGGGTGACACAGCCAGAGACACTGGAACCTGGGTTAGGACCCTTAATCTTGTGCTTTATGCTCCTTTGTTGTATTCATAGTTTTTTTTATTATTATTATTGTGACTAAAATACCATACATAACCAACTCAAGGAAGGAAAGATTTGTTTTAGCACATGGTTTCAGAGGGTTGCAGCCCATCCAGGTACAGAAGTCATGGTGATGGCTGCTGCTAGTGGTGGTGAGAGATGGCCCCTCTTCCATGCCAGCGGACTGAGAAACAGAGAAATCAGGCTGGAGCCAGGGGGTGTACCTAATTTTCAAACCTGAACTTCAGTGATCTACTTCCTTTTGCTAAGCAGGCCCTACCTCTTAAAGGTTTTACAGCTTTTCCAAACAGAGGAAAAGGAAACAGATGCTTAAAATATGACCCTGGGAAGGAGGGAGGCACTTCAGCTTCAAACCCTACTACACATCATAGACCTAACAAATAAGGGTGCTGGGGTGACCAGCAGTCCAGGTTTGCCCAGGGCTTACCAGGGCTGCGACACTCCTCCCACTATGCCATGGTGCTGAGCCCTGTGTTGAGGCTTGCTGCATGGCACAGCCTTGCTTTTGCTTCTGTCACCAGGGATTATGAAGTAACAGAGTTGAGCCTCTGTGAAAATGCAGGTTCTGGCTTAGCAGGGCAGGGTGGGACCTGTGGTTTTGCATATCTTACAAGTTCTAGTGATACAAGCACTGACAGTCCAGGGCCTCACTTTGAATAGCAAAGCTACTGCTTTCATGGGGGACATGAAGTTAGTCATCCTTCTAGAAGGCCACCAGCAGCCAGAGCCAGGCATAACCATCAACATAAAGAGCCCACCAGCACACACACACACCCAGGCCCCTGCTTATCAGTAGGAGTGCAGGGTAATTGGCACATTCTACTTCCTTCTCCTCCACAGACTTCTAGGCAAGTCCTCTATTCGCTCTGGAAGGTTATCCCATCTGCCCTAACCCCTGATATTCATAGAATGATACCAGTGCCAAGTTCACACAATTTGGTGATCTGATGCTCTTTTGTGGCCAGTTAAAGGACCAGGCTCTTCATGTGTGGCCACCTTCAGACCAGCACACAGACCCAGTACAACTGGCTGAACAAGGTTAGCTGCAGGTCATTAGGGACTCTGTATTTGAGGGACTAACCTAATGACTTAATAGGTTGAGGATGTCTAACTACATTGTTAAATTTGGGGATTCTTTATCTTTCTGGAACGATGCTCTTGGGCTCACAGAATGGGACCATGATACTAACAAACTCGGTTCTGGGCCACTGGATAATCCAGGAGTTGCCTGACATTTCCCTTCTGATTAGGCCTTGCATCAAGATAGTGCAGCTCAGTGTCAGGACAAGTCAGTCATTAAGTGTGAGCCTTGGAATAGGTGGGTAGGTAGCAAGATTTTGGTTGAAAATTAGACTCTACCAGTTATAAGCTGTATAATCTGGTATCAGTTGCTCTCTGAGCCTAAGTTTTTCCACTTACAGAATGTGTTTCTTACTATCTACCCCAGAGTGTAATGGTGAGGACTATGGAGGCTCACATCTGTAAAAGGCCTGATTCATAGAAGATACAAACGCCAATATCATCTCTTATTGTTATTCTACCTATAGGAAGCTAAGCCCATAATAAAGAAGCATTCTCAGGAGAGCAGAGAGGGGAAAACGGCCTCCCCCAGATTTGAGAAGTAGCTGCAGGGACAGCCAGGCCATGATCACGTCATTTACAGGCATCTTCCCTTTTCTCCTTTTTCCTGATTCCCGGATCACTGCTAAGAAGTGTGTGTGCCTCTCTTCACAGGCACGGGGCGGATTTGGATGGATGATGTGAACTGCAAGGGAACTGAGCTCTCCATCTTCCACTGCCAATTTGCCAAATGGGGAGTGACAAACTGTGGGCATGCTGAGGACGCTGGAGTGACTTGCACTGCATTCTGAAAGTAGGCACAGCCCAAGGCCAGGTCACAGCCGTTACCACATTCCCTTGTCTCTGGGGTTAGAGGATTGCTTGGAGCTACCTAACCATGGCTCGTGCACAGTCCAACACCACCCCCAACTCTGCTGCCAATTGGCCCTACTCTGGTTCCCAGGTGACTTGTTGTCACTCTCCTTCCAGACAACTACTCCAAAGTGCTCAGTGGGACCTGTGTTCTGTCTTTCCTTTCCACCAGGGTTTCTTCGTGTGGACCCTGGTCAACTGAACCACCAGTATGCTCAGCTATCTGAAGATTCCACAAGGCCTAGGGATCTATGTTACAGGCGCTCTCTGGGTTACAGCTGGATGCTGATATGATGTCATAGGCAAGAGCAGCGAAGGAGGTGTTATGGGTCGTTCGCTTTGCAGCTAAGTCCTAAATTCCAGAGTTTCACCATCCACCTCACTAGCAAGTAGAAACCCTTAAGCACTCTGTTTCCCTTCTTTTCCTCTGCTTCTTCACACTATGCTTGAGGAAGGGGCAGAGGAGAAGCCAGCTATAGGAGACATAAGAAAATGCCGGAAACCCTGCTGGATCTGGGAAGAGAGGAGAATAACTACCGTGCTGTGCTTCAATGTATCTAGGGTGCTGAAACCACTTAACCATTTTGCTGTGTTAATACCAGGCATGTCAATCAGGGCAGGACCCTGCCTCCAAGTAGTGCTCACCTGGCCCATTCATCTGACTTCCAAGTTAGAAGACCAAGAATGACCAAGACTGAGACCAGGTTCCTCCATGAACCTTGTATACAGCAAGTTCATATAAGATCAGACAGGATGGGTTTCTAAGTCAAACATCCACACAGAAAGGCTGGCTTGGAGGGTGACATGGGAGCTATCCACATTAACCTGAGGCCATCAGTCATTAAAGGCTGTGTCTCAGGGCAGTTGGTGACATTGTACCGTCCAGACCTCTTTAAATATAATCATGTGGTCAGAGGAAAACAGACCTGGTAAGTTTCCCAAGGGTAGAAGTATGAATTCCCTATCACCTTCCCTGGGAAATGAGTTGCCTTGGGCCCCTTCAAATCTGTGAGACACACCCAACTTCTGGTTGCAGGGAGAACATGTTCTGTTGTTAACAGGAGAAGGTTGAACTAGATGGTACATGTGTTCTAGAACTTCGAGAGCTATGGTATAGCAATCAAGGGCAGCAGACCCGTCTGGCTATAGTAGAGTCACAGACACAATCACATATCCTATGAGGTGAGCATTATCTTGCTTGGGGTGAGGAAGACCTAGGTACCTCCAGGTATAATTTCCCCCAAAGATCCTGGCTGGCTACTATGCCAGTATGTGATCTTGATCATTCTTGCTTGCAATATGCATTACTCACTACTGTTCTCATGATCTGACCAACTGTTATGTTTACATAACATGCATGTACTCATGCATCTTCTTCCAGAGCCAATGTACTATACCTGTATAAGCACAGCACCCTTTATTACATAGCTCAGCACATCACAGCGGTTATGTTTTAAAAGATATGCTCAAGGTTGTTATTTTTTTAAAAAAAAAGATATTTTAAGAATGTGTAAACATCACTTTGATAATTATGGGAATGAACCCTGTTACCCCAATGATGAAGACTCAGGTAACTTCCTCACTTAGTCTTCACACGGGGGAAGCACAGTTTTGTTTTATATCTATAAAAAAAAAAACCATGTTGAAAGTATTTTAACCATAAAAATAAAAGTCGACTAGTTTACAGACCTACCTAGGAGGACATGGAAATGACCGTGGACTGTATTTCAGGGACTAATGGAAACTAGGCCTAAAATACTTCAGACCTTTTGTAAGAAAGAATTTCAATAAAGCAAACATTTGAAAAAGATGTCACTAACAAGTGGTTGTATTAGTCAGGGTTTTCTAGAGTCACAGAAATTATGGAATGAATCTCTCTCTCTCTCTCACGCTGCTTCAACTCACAGCAGGCAGAAGGAAGAGGACATGTGTGTCTGTCCCACAGAGACCAAGCATGGGGATAGGCTTGCTTTGGAACAAACCTGAACCACCATCACTAAACTAACCTGTGAAAAGGGGGCTTTGGGGGAGAAAGGCACTTGCCCATCCATGAGGACTCCATACCTGATACCCAGACACCTCCCCAAACTGCCACATTGAGGAGTCAAGGTTCTAACACATGCATGTGTGGGGGACACATTCAAATCTCAGCAGAACTATGGTGTTTTAGCTCCATTTGATGGTCACCAAAGGAAACAGGTTCCAAGCAGCAGGACAACCCTCAGGGCCCATTCATGACAGAGTGGTTTGAATTTCATTTGGTCTCAGCCAAATCGAAGTGTTCATTTTTGTAGCTGACAAAGGAAAGGTGTCATAGTCATTGTTGTAATGCTGCAAAGAAACACCATGACCACAGCAACTCTTATAAAGGAAAACATTTAATTGGGGCTGGCTTACAGTTCGGAGGTTTAGTCCATTATCTCATGATAGGAAGCATGGCAGCATTCAGGAAGACATGGTGCTGGAGGAGGAGCTGAGATTTCTATATCTGGATTGGTAGGCAGCAGGAAGAGAGGGACACTGGATCTGGCTTGGGCTTCTAAAACCCCTCAGTGACATAATTCCTCCAACAAGCCCACACCTACTCCAACAAAGTGACATATCATAATCTTTTCAAGTATTGCCACTCCCTATGAGCCTATGGAGACCAGTTTCATTCAAACCACTACAAAAGGGTGCTTGTGTTTTTCTTCCCAACTCTAGAATTCCACCTAGGAACGTATTTCCCTTGGATACCATGGGCGCTAAGACAGTCCAGTTAGGTACTGAGTGTGCGGTTCCTAAGCCCTATCATCTAAAGATAGGCAGGAGTGTTCTTGACACAGAACCACAGCAACCTGTGAAGAAAGGTCTGAGCACCACAATTCTGTAGCAGGCTTTGTCTCTGAGGTCACCAACCAGCTTCCAAATCATGACAAGGAGACTTATTAGTTATGCATGCTTGACCTAAACTTGTGCTCGTTTCTGGTTAGCTTTTTTTCTTTAACTTAACCTGTTTCTCTTCATCTACATTTTACCTTTCTTTCTGTATGTCCTACTCTGTGTCTACTGGCTGGTGGCTGCTTGCCTGGGTGTCTTCCTCTCTTTCTCCCTCATTCTCTTCCCCTCCTCTTCCTTCTCCTTCCTCTTCTTCTTCCTTTTATTCTTATTCCTCTCCCCCTCTTTCTCTTTCTCTCTCTCACCTAGATTTCTCCTCCTATTTATTCCTCTCCTGCCTAGATTTTAGCTGTTCAACTTTTTATTGTATGAATCATGTGCCTTAGACAGGCATGGTGAAACAGCAACACATCTTTACATAATTAAACAAATGTAACACACCTTTACACAGTTAAAGTAATACTATGCATCATAAACAAATGCAACACATCTTTGCCTAGTTAAGTGATATTCCACAGTTCTGCACAGATGCTCATGGTGGCAGCTCAGGGAAGCCCTCACACCCTGAGTTTGTTGTGGGCCACTGCAGTGCGCTAAAACACAACAGATGTTTCTGGAAACTCATCAAGGGACTACCCTTTCCTCCTCTTTACAAAGGCCTGGATGGTAGCCTGCCCCTTCATCCATGTCATAGTGCTTCTGGCTGTGTGAACAGGGCCCTGGAGGACGGCAGCACCCACCACCTTTTGTTGTTCTTTCTACTGCCCAGAAGTCAAACATAGCCACTTCCAGTAGACAAATGTGCATATATTTTTTGATTAAGTTTTTGGAGCCCTTACCCCCAAGTTTCTTCAGTGACTTTGACGACAAAATAATAGAAGTCACGCTAAGATTCCATAACAGGTCCAGAGTGTGAATCAATTTGGTTCTCTTTGTAACCTAGCTCTCTACCTGAAACCTTCTGTAGAATGTGCCACACCCAAGCTTTGCATTCCTCTCCTCCTTCACTTATGGCTTTGTGGAGCTTAGAGTGGGTTTTGCCTGTCAGCAACTCTCCACCAAGCAAAATAGGTAAAGGAACTTTCTTGAAGAACACTTAATCTCCTGGGGAGACCTTGAACAAGCACAAGTGGAGCCAGTAGCGTGGGCTCTTATCATAGGTCTTTCTTTAGAAGTTGTACCAGCCTCATGAGCTTCACACTTGTGCTGATGAATGTTGGAATGGAATGGGCCTCACAGGAATGCCCATGCACCTTCCTGGAACCTTCTCTGTGCTGTTCCCTTCTCTCAAGTACTGAGTAATTCTGCAAACCTGGGCCTCTGAGCTCCAGTCACCATTCCTCACCTCCACACAGCTGTGAGACTCAGCTTTCTCCTGATGCTGCAGAGAAAGAATCTAGGCCAAGGTCGAGCTGCCCACTTGCTCCCCTCATCTCAGGGATCACAGTCTTCGTGTTACATGTTGTTCAATGTCTTAAATGATAGGTTTCAAGAAAGTTGTGCAATTTGCAATTTTCCAATTATGTCAGAAGGTGGGTAATTCTGGTAAGTATTCCCCAAGGCCAGGAGTAGAAGTCTTCGCTGTGGCTATTTACTGGTCCAGGAGAATCATAAGGAAACATCTTTGTTCAAACACAGCACCATTTGGCAAGATGAGCTCTGGAAAGATCTGGTAGGAAGAGTGACTGAACAGGCAGAAGCTTCCTGTAGCCTTCTCTCATGGCCCCTTCCTCCCGGCCCCTCCCCTCTAGACTCCCTTCGAAGGTCATTCCCAAGGCTCTCCATGAGTTCTCCTTTAGCAGTTGAAGAATTAAGCCAAGTAAACCTTTTCGGTACAAATACAAACAGGTTTAAACCAGACAGATGTCCAAGTAGGCTATACAGCAGCTGCTTGTGTTGTGGCCCCAAAGAGCTGGTAACATTTCAATGGTCCCTTCCCCAGCTCGCTTCCTCGCCTGGCCTGTATAGTCCTCACCAGGGACAATTTCTTATTCTCCAAGCTGTGTTCTCTGTGAACGGAGGCAGTACCTGTTCCCTGTCATCCACCAGGGCTCCATTTCTG